TCCTCCTTTGTCCGCGCTAGGGGGGGGGGGGGGAGAAGTGTTCTGTAATTCACAGACAAGAAGTGGGAAGGCTGATAACACTGTCTGAGCTTTTAAGCACAGGAAGTGAAAAGGACACTGGATTTCTGATAAAAAAAACAGGAATTTTCTGTACTTAGCCTGAAAAAAGAAAAACTAATAGAGCCAGCGCTGAGCTGTTATATTGACATTTTTATTCTTGGGTTTAGATATAGTTTACAGCTAACCTCTGGGGAAATTTAAAAACTACTCTCAGCACTGCAAGGGTAAATGCTTGTTTTTGCCCAGGGGAACATTAAAAAGAGCTTATTTGCCTTATGCCTTGCTCACACAGGCTTCCTCAACTCCATGCAACTGACTGATCACTCAAAGCCACTTCTCTTCAGCACTCCATCCATTAAACAATCTGGTTTCAATTTCAATTGTGTCAATGAATATGAGTAATTTAACGCAATTATGGACTGGAATATCTTTATTGTCCAAGCTGACACGGATACTGTTTATCGGCACTTGCGGCAAGTGCAGTTCACATCTGTGCTATGATACAAGTGCTTCTTAATACTGGTAAACTATGTTTCTGTAAATGCTAACATGTATACCAGCTGCTTACCCCACATCCTCCCTCGCCACGACAAGACCCTAGTACCATTCCATTTGAGAACTAGGTGAATAAAAGTTTAACTTCTCATCAAAGTCAACCATGACTACAAAATAAAGGAGGCTGCTTTAAAAGCAGGGATAATACACAGATGGAAAATAGTCAGCTGCCCAAGCTTTCATCCAATGCCGAGCTTGCCTCTGTGGGTAAAACTAGCTGTAAAATTCTACTAAAATGTAGAATAGAGATTAAGGACTATTGTGTAGATTTTCTAAATACTTCTAAGTACCTTTGTTGGACAGCATGAATAGTTGGATCTCGAAGTCCAATTTGATCAATTTGATCCTGAATATCTTCAATATGTTTGCACAGGGTTCTTTGTCTGTTGTTTAGAGCCTCCAGTGCCTCTCTCTCCTGTAAGTTCTGGAGCTCCCTCAGAACAGCTTGTTGTGCATTTTCTAGCTTGTCAAAGAACACACTAATCATTTTCTGGCATGAGGTTACTCCTCCAAAATCTGGCTCCTCTAGAGTGATGTCAGCTGACTGCAGTTTGTCATCAAGTTTTTCGGCCTCTTGACCAAGGCGGTAAATGTCCCTTTCAAGTTCCTCAAGGTTCCTCTGCTTCTGTAGCAAGGTTTCATTGTCCATAACCATGATTGTGGGTTTAGTTTCAATGGAAGCTTTAGCTGCTTTAAGAGAAGAAAGAAAATCCCCCAATGTTTTGAGGGTTGTTTCTCGTTCTTTCATGACTTGGTTTGTGGCTTGCAATTCCATTTTATATTGATTCAAAGTGGGCTCGGTGACTGATGGATCCAAACTGTCACACTGGTGGATCTCACTTTCAAAAGTATTTTGGACTTCCTGAAAGACAAAAGCAGTTCTATGTGTATTCAGGTAATTGTATAGCGTTTTTACCTGTAGTTATAGTATTTTATATATGAATTCCTATTTTATTTTACAGCCCTTTATTTACAGTGGTAATTAAAATTATTCAACCCCCCATTGCAAATCAAGATTTATTGGCAAAATTTCCAGACTGCCAAAACATATAAAAGAGAAGCAAATTAAATAGGTCAACACAACAAATGTTTCAAGTGTTTTCCCCAAATTCAACTTTTAATGACTTCTGCAGTCTCAAAAAATGATAAACCCCTTCATGGCAAGCATCTTTAGTACTTAGTAGAGCACCCTTCTGCTGTTATGACCTGTTGCAAATGAGATGCATTCCTGAGGAATCTTGACCTGTTCCTCATGGGTAATGGCCTCAGACCATGGAAACAAATGACACAAATCCAGGGAGGGTGGGATCCATTCAGAAAAGGACAGAGGTTCACTTCTGGCCAGGCCTGCTCCACCTCCCATACTCTTCTATACTGCTGCAGCTGCGACTCCTCATATGATGGTAGGACTGATGTGAAAAGATGGGCTCCTGATGTAAAAAGGGAGTTCCTGATGGGAAGGGGGATCCTTGTGTAAGAGGGGGAGACTCTGATTTAAAAGGAGGTAGCTCCAGATCTGAAAGGTGGGACTCTAATGTGAAAAAAGCTCCTAATGTGAAGGGGAGACCCCACTTCTTTGAGTTTTTGTGTGGGATCCCCCCTTAAAATCCATACCAGACCCCTTATCTCATATAAGGGCCTGGTATGAGTTTTGTAGGGAACACAGGTTATTTTGACATATTTGCATTATGTTTTTTTAAATTTTAGACTGGGGTGAATGGGGATTTTGCATACTTTTAAAAGGGTACCATGACTCAAAAAAGTTTGAGAAATCCTGAAACAGAAAAGTGTATGTAATCCATTTTTATAGCAAGATCCTTTATTAATAGAAAGGACCTCCTGTATTATAAGCACCTTCATTCAAACTGCAAATGTGCTATTTAAAGCTGAACCATAGGCTATGTATAAAAGACAACCTGATGCATTAATATACCATTAAATGTATTTCTTAACGCAAGCAGTGTTAGTTTTAACCGCTTTCAGTCCCTATACAGCAGAGATGGAGTTTGGGAGTTGACCTGTACATGGCCACGGATTGGCATGATTTCATCATTTGCCACCAATGGGCTGTTTACAATCACCTACTGGGAACCAATCAAACAGTGTGTCCATACCTTCATTTTCTGCAAAACTGAATCGATTTTAGATACTGTGAAGGTCTCCATCTTCTGTTCCATTTGATAGTCATTTAATCCTGAAGCTACATCATCATCAGATGGTAAATGTCTATTAAGTGCCCCATTCAGTGACGGAATCCCAGAATCCTGTGTGTCCAAGTTACTTAATTCTTGCAAAATAGCTTGCTTAGCGATTTCTATCTTTTCAAAGAAACCATCAATCAACTTTTGGCAGGATGTCTCTCCCCCATGTTCTGGGTCTTCTAAGTAGATCTGTGCTGGTACCAGTTGGACATCAAGCTCTTTAGCTTCCATCCTCAATTTATGAACTTTCTTCTCTAGTAGCTCAATATTCTTCTGCTTTTGTAGAATGGTGGTTCTCTCCTTGTCGCTCACAGCAGTGACAGCCTGAATAGACCACTTAGTCGTTGCCAAAGACGACAGAAATGACTCCAGGTCTTTCAGAACATCCTCTCGTTCCTTCATGGATTCACATTTTGCCTCTAGTTGCACTTTGTATTGCTGTACAGCGGACTGGAAGGCTTGTGCATCGACAGGACTGGCTGGGTCAACAACCTCTGTAGCTGATTCCAGATAGTCACATTGCTGAATCTGATCTTCTACAGAACTCTGGAACTCCTACAGAGTAATAACATGAGATTCATACATTTTAGGAAAATGAACTAAGTATATTCAAAAACTGCATATTTAAAACCAAGCTATTGGCTTTAAGCTACAACTATTTTTTTTAGTTTAGTTATGGATAGAGCGGAAAAGGGATATTACCTTGGTTGGGTTTTAAATGTTGTCCATAGTCTATATGGGGAGATTTCAATAAACTTCCTGTTCTGATGCCTGCCAAATAGACAGGAAGTGGAATAGACAGAAAATGTTTTGCTGTGGTGTGTGTGCCCACTGAAGAATTTTTCCTCTTGTTCTGTCTGCTCTGTCTGGCAGCCATCAAGTAGATAGCAAATGATGAGAAATCTCCCAAACGGGGGACACAGTCAGCAACACAAACTTACTATAGGTTCTCTATAAACTAAAAATGGCTAAATACCCAATTGAAAGGCATATATGCTTTCTCTTTTACCTGCCAAAGGAACTGTCATCTTCCTCAGTAACTTTTAAAGTGCACCTGTGCCCAGGCTATGGGCATTCATTTATCTACATATTCTTAACAAGCAGTAAAAGAGCTTTAAGACAATCTATCCTTGACCGCTTCCTTCTCAAAGATCCTCCAAGATAGCATCAATTTCTCTGGACTCCAGTACCAGTCAGTTTGCCTTGGGTTTACATTGGAGGGCTGGCAGGATGCCAAGGTTCTGGTGCAGTAGAAAGTGAATGGGAAAAAAAAAAACTAGGATTTCAACACCTCTGTTGTGAACTTTGAATATGAATTTCTAGGTCATTGGCCCAAGAGGTACTGAAGCCAGTGAATCAGCATGAAGGCCAGCCAAGTAGCAGCAGGCTTCAAGTATTATTAAAATAAATGAAAACCCATGAAAACAAATTAAAACATGCTTTACAATGCATGTTAGTTTTTCATGTGCTTTCACTGATTTCAATAGAAAATGCATGATTCCACCCAGAAAGGCTTGCAAATCCAATTCCTTACAGGTTCCAGGCTTACAAGTGTGCCACCTGCTGGTAATATTTGGTATTGCACAAATAAAGTTCACTCTCAGCACCTCTTTGTTTGCTGTTAGACTTCTGTAGGATAAGCAAGTCAAACAAACAGCTGTACCATTGTAAAAGCTGCAGGATAGGGGAAAGGAAAAAGCAACTAGAAGGCTACTTTAAGGCTCTGTTCACACCTAGGCGTATCGAATATGCGCGTTTCGTGACACGCGTTTTTACAGCGATTTGTGGTAAAAAACGCGCGGCAAACGCGTGTTTCCGAGGGCTATTTGGCTGTATCCCAGTGGAAGCGCGCAACAAAAACGCTGCAAAGAAGCTCATGCACCTTTTCAGGCGTAGGCCGTTTTGTAGCGCGTTCAGACGGGCTGAAATACAGCAAGGTGTGAACCATACCCATAGAAAACAATGGGATTTTCATGTTTGAGCGTTTTGTAGAGCGTTTTGTAGAGCGTTGAACGCGCTACAAAACGTACAGGTGTGAACCAGGCCTTAAGGTAACCCCTCTTAAGCATCACCACACAGAACTTCAAAGCTGCTGGAAGCAATGGCCACTTTGGCATGCCAACTGGAACATGTGCATACTTAGAAATGATCAAACCATATAATTAACAATTACAGAGGAAAAGGTAGACTGAATGCAAAAAAAAATGTATTTACCTGGAGAACTTGATACATTGAACCAATACCGGAGACAGTGAATTTCTCCATCTCTTGTGCTGGAGTCTGAAGGTTGGATTCACACAGAACAGACACTTCTTGCTCAATAGGCAGAAGAACATCTATTGTCATACTCAGAGATTGTATCCTGGCAAAACACAACCATGTAAAATTAAAGCATTACACAATTGTGTATATTTTGTGATAGAATATTTAGAATACAATGCTGCCAAAAAAAAACCTTCACAAAATATAGTACATTGATGACACTTCTTTCATACAATTCCCAATGTCGGCTTGATTAGAACATAGTATAAAAAGGGGGCTCTGTTGCTGCTCCAGCTCTCGGAATACAATCACTTCCTTGTAATACAAGAATAATATCTAATCTTCATATGACTGCACTGCAACCAGGAAGAGAATTTGAAGAGAATACTTCCTAACGGGAACTGGAATAAGGCGCTAGCTGACCACATAGCTCAGTGTTATTTTAAGCTTCTGGAGTGGAGACAATGTTTCTCCAAATCTGGAAATACACTGAGGGGTGGCTTCTGAGTCATTCATCTGAGTAATAAATGAGTACCGTAGTTGACATCCTTCCTGGTTAGGGGCTCTGATGGAAGCAATGCCTTTATTACCATTGAAGCTCAGCGGCCTGCAGTCAGAGATAACAGCAGTTGGGGCTCTGCTGAAAAATTGGCTGGACGACCTACAACTGTGATTTCTGTAACCGATCATCGGATATCAAGTCACAGGGGCAAGGACATTTTTTTTTAAACTACTTGTACAAGCACTAAAGCAGAGGCCCAATCTACTTGTCCCTCATGACAATCTACTTGTCACGTGACCACGCTGACCAACAATTTTGCTTGCAATTTGCAAGCAAAATTCAAAAATCGATAATGGAAGGCTAAGCTGGCCGGCAGTATGGGGTATAGATAGTACACCCGTACTAGTGGAGGGGAAGGACTGTTCACCAAAAGGCAAATATAGCGGGGGGTTGAAGGAGGCCAGATTTGAGCAGGTAATTCCATTTTCCCAAATTACTTGGTAAAGTGAACTTACCCTTTTTTTTTTTTTTATCACTTCTTTAGTAATTTTTTATTCTATTGTTTCTTACTTATTATATTGTTTCTTACTTATCACTTTTTTATATTTTTAATTTTTATTTTTTAACTGTCTGCTAAGGGAAACTGACCTGTAAATTGAAATTTCCAGTGCAGGTACTGCTGCAGGCCATATAACCTGATACTGAGAGTTTTCTTGTAATTTTTTTAATTTTGTAATAGGGATCTAGTATGGATCTTAGGGGGGGACCCCATGCAAAAGCACAAAAAAATGGGGTTACCCCTTTCACATCAGAGTCCATTAGAGTCCCCTTTCACATCACAATCCCCCCCCCTTAAAATAAAAGTTCACATTTAC